TTTTTGGTGGGTTACCTATTCCAGTTGACATTAATATTAATGTTAATATGATAAAGCCCAAATACAGCATCATTGGTATAAAAGAACTACAGCCTGGCTGGATAAGGGATTTCTGCAGTGCTGTGTTGGAATATAGTTGGAATCACCAGCAGCAGCAAGATAGTTTCTCCCCTTTCTGACAGTTTTGTTGTTAATAAGAGAGGGAGCTGCCTGCCTGGACAGAGAGTCTGAGTGATCTGCAGCAGCCTCTGCCTTAGATGCAGAATTAAAAAGAGAGCTGTGTGGACTCAGTAACAGATTGAATTGGTGCACTGTGTACAAAGTGTTGCCATATAATCATGTTGCAGACTTGCTTCAGACCATCTATTAACACTAAATCAAATGAAATGTGAAACAGATGTTTTTTTCTTCAGGTGTTTGTGAACCAAAGCAGAGATTAAAGGGGGCTGAATGTTGGACTTATATTCAACAAGTAGGCAGCAAGATGAGTTAGTGGGGTAGGATGGTGTACAATTTATGTGTATTTATTAAATGATAGTGTGAGCTCTTCTTCCCGTACCATGAAATCATGTTCTGCTACAAAGATGGTCTTGGCTACACATATGGTAACTGTGACAAGTCCTTTAGTCTTAAACATGTAAGAATACAGTTACACTCATTAGGTATTTAAGTAGACCATAGACTGTATAATGCATATCCACTATTACATCACTCATTGGTTTGTGGATTCCTGTTTCGAAGCCTCAAGTTTGACATTTTAGCCATTGCCACCTTGGATTTTTGGAGCCAGAAATGACCATATTTGGACAACATTCATTCATTCATTTATTTATTTTCCATAACCGCTTATCCTGTTGGAGGTCACGGGGATACCATATAGACACCAGACAATCACAGGGCTGACACATAGAGACATGGTCACATTCACACCTACAGGCAATTCAGAGTCACCAATTAACCTAACCTGCACATCTTTGGATTGTTGGAGGAAGCCGGAGTACCTGGAGAAAACCCATACTGACACGGGATGAACATGCAAACACCCCCACTCCGAGGTTCAAACCCCCCCCCACCCTGAATTTGAACTGAGAACCCTTTTGCTGTGAGGCAGCAATGCTAACACATTCTATCACAGTTGTTATTTGGACAACAGAGTGGAGATTACCCTAATACTAACTGCTAGCTTGGTTGCATTTACAGGTATAGTTAACTGTGATAATGTTAATCACTCACGAAAAACAGGCTTAAAACATAATCTTTTTTAAAAAAAAAATTACTTGCCGGAAATACTGAACACCCGACTCCTTAGAGGATCTTTCAGTAAAACCAATTGCTGAGCAAGATTTTTTAGACAATTCAAAAGTTACAGTTAAGTTTCATGAACTAAAAACACTGAAATAGTGACAGCTAGGCCTGAATTATACTCTGTGAATTGGGGGATACACCATGGGTATGTTATGCTGTTATGGATGTTATTCTATCCAATGTTGTCGCCATGTTAGCGACTCGTCAATGGACGGCACCCACCTTTCACTCAAAACTTTATAAAATTCCACCCCTCCGACAGTTGTCATGTATGGGAAAAATCAGCGTTAGAGACAAATGTTTTTTTGTACCAGGCTGTAATGATGTTTAATCTGTAGTGAAGTTGGGCATTTTAACATGGGGGTCTATGGGGATTGACTCACTCTTGGAGCCAGCCTCAAGTGGCCATTAGAGGTACTGCAGTTTTTGGCACTTTGGTGTTGCCTTCATTTTCAGCCCTTGAGGTCAACCCGGTCTCACTCCAAAGTCATCAAAAATCCGCCACTTGGGCAGTGACTTGCGGCGTAAGACACTGACAGAATAAGCCGTCCTTTGATGTCGGCTGGTCACTATTATAGTTTAAGAGCAGCATCAGGGGGAAACACTGCAAAAACAAAAGTTAAGGCATCAAAGGTCCAAGTTGGGCTGGCGTGAGGGGTGGTGGATGGGTCCAACAAACACCGACTTGGTGTCCAACAAACACAGCCTTTAAACCAACTTTGACCTGGGAGAGTGGTGATTGTATCCCGCAAGATTATAAAGCCAAACCACTTGCTTTTGTTGCCTAAACCTAATCATCATTTGTTGTTCAAAGAAAAAACAAACATCAATTTGCGGTGTTGTACCGATGTAGTGCGTTTAGAGACTGTGAAAATGGAAGTGTATTTTGAAAGAAGACAGTGCATCTAACAGACAGAAGTTGACATGTTGTCCCAGAACGTCAACAACCAACGCACCCAGGGTACCTTTCACATCATATCTGGATGTTGAAAAAGTCCATGACCAAACGTCTATATGTGAAAAAAATGTGTTGTTGAGGTTGCCGCTTGAAGCAGACATACATACATATAATCTCCTTCACTCACTAGTTTTTCTTTTCGTTCATCTCTTTGTCCACTCCCCCACCATACACACAAACACACACTTTTTGTCCATCCATCTCCATTACGCCTGTCTCTCCTGTCTTTGTGATTGTAATGCCACGCAAAATGATGCAGGTAAATTCTATTTCAGATCAGAATCACAAACAGTCAGAGATGGATGGAGATGAAGATGGAGAGAGATGGAAAATGGTGATTCATTACCTCACTATGAGGTTATCTAAATGGGCTGGCAGCCAGACTGTCCACTCATGTGTGAGGAATCTTCCCAATGCCTACAAATATATGAGTTTGTGTGTGTGTGCTGGGGGAGATATGAGGTGCACACTACAATATAATGCATTGCAATAAATCAACCCAAACTACAGCCTTACCAAACACATATCTTTCAAACATTAAGAGTCATGAGGGTGATATTCACTGCATGGTTACTGCATGGCTTGCAACACATTTTACAGATGATGTATGTTGTGTCCACATGCTGTTTGAATACTAATGATTTCATATTTGTCCATAGGTGCTCCTTGTGTCAACATTTGTAATCTTGTGTATGTTCATGTGTGAGGTACTGGTCTGCAATTGTGTGTGTGTGTGTGTGTGTGTGTGTGTGAGAGAGAGTGTGTGTGAGAGAGAAAAAGAGAAAGGTTTTTTTTTGCCATCTTGACTGGCGGCCTAAGGCACATACAGCTGATTGTGTAAATTGAAAATCAACAGCTGCAGACCTTTTAGACCCTTTAAAAGCACACTGACACACACTTTCTCCTTCCCTTTCTCTGTCACTCGTGCACAAACACACACAGACACACACTCACACTTTTCCACAGTGATTTGCCTTGGTGAGCTCTTTAAATCTCCTCAGTTCCACATCCTTTGACGCCTCCAGGGAATGTTTCCACTATGAACAGGTTTCCATTTTCACCCTTTCCCTTCAGTGTCTAGCCCTCTGTGCACACACACACACTTGCTCTTTCACACATAAAGTAAGCCTGTATTGCAAACAACTTCTTTTGCAGGTCTTATTATGAAGCTGGACCCCTTGTTATTTGTAAGGTCACTGCACCAGTTCACATTACACAAGTCATTTGTATGGGCAATACGAGCCAAATTATACTTTTAAAGTTATTGAGGTTAGCAAGTAGATTTGATTCCTTTTAGTTCACTCAACAAGATTTGTTTCAATTGTCATGCTGTATTTCATAAATTAAATCTCCAATCTAAATTTGTTATTTCCCACCGGAGAACCAAACTGTTATGGATAATCATTTCCCACCAACACTACTAGTAATTTTCTCTTCCCACTTTTCATTTCAAATTTTATCCATATTTGGTATCTCCTCCTCTGCTCCCACACTGTCACTCAGTCTTTCTCCCTTTCATTTTCAGCTGTGGGAAACAGGGCTTCTTTCACTATGTAGGTCAGAATGTCAGGCCACACAGCAGATGCAGACAATGTGGCTGATCTTTGTGTCCCAAAAATACAATAGAAGTACAACAGTCCAAATGAAATGTGTTTTTCAGTATATGTAACCGCCGTTCTGGTGTAGTTATATTTGACAAGTCTCTATTGATGAAGATGATTTTTTCCTGCTCTGTCTTGCTGGGATGTGACAGTGTGCCACTGGAAATGGGGCTCCATTTAGGACAAAAAGAAGACATTGAATAGAGCAGGAGCTACGTGTCCATGCCTATGTGCATCCATGTGTTGGTAGATAACGACAGATTCACCATTGGCCAGAGAGTCTCTTTGAATGACCACTGTCTCATGGTGGGAATTTGTCATGCCAGAGCCAATTACAGTGACAGCTTCATCGCTCTCTTGCCAATCAGAGCTGTTGACCTGAGATGGCCCCACAGTAAGCTCTGACCCTGATAGCAGTCCACTGATTTGACCAAGGACAGACATATATCAGAGATGTCTTAGAGGGACTTTCACAGGGGTCAGGGGAGAAGTCTGTGCTAAGCGCCTGCTGATTGTGTTTGAGCAGTCCATGTGCACAGACGACACTCACACAAGGAGACAGTTCTAACTTTGTTTGCCTTGTTACGCCATAGTCAGTTTGATGTAACTAATGATACTGTCTTTTCCTCTTGCCTTCATCATTTGCTCTCTTGCTCTTTCCTTCACCCTCCATCACTTCATCACTCCTGATACACAAACACATTCTTTGGCTTTGATCTCCATCTTCATCATTGTCATCCTTGTTCTTTTTACTTTTTATTATTTCCAGGGTGGAGGCCATGCATCGCCGGCACACCACACTGAGAGAGAAGGGGCGTCGCCAGGCAGTGCGGGGCCCGGCCTATATGTTCAATGAACGCGGCTCGGCACTAACACCAGAGGAGGAACGTTTTCTGGATGCTGCTGAATACGGAAACATCCCTGTGGTTCGCAAAATGCTGGAAGAGTCCAAAACCCTCAACTTCAACTGTGTGGACTACATGGGCCAGAATGCTTTGCAGCTGGCAGTGGGCAACGAGCACCTAGAAGTGACAGAGCTGCTTCTAAAGAAGGATGGTTTGGCCAGGATTGGGGACGGCCTGCTTTTGGCTATCTCAAAGGGTTACGTCCGAATCGTTGAAGCCATTCTTGCCCATCCCGCTTTTGGCGGAGGTCTCAGATTGACTTTGAGCCCTCTGGAGCAGGAGATGCGTGATGATGACTTTTACGCCTATGACGAGGATGGAACACGTTTTTCACATGACGTCACGCCCATCATCCTGGCTGCTCACTGCCTGGAGTACGAGATCGTGCACATCCTTTTGACGAAGGGGGCCCGCATAGAAAGACCCCATGACTACTTCTGTAAGTGTTCGGAGTGTGTGGAGAAACAGAAGAAAGACTCGTTCAGTCACTCACGCTCCAGGATGAATGCATATAAGGGCCTGGCCAGTGCAGCTTACCTGTCGCTCAGCAGCGAAGACCCTGTGCTGACTGCCCTTGAGCTCAGCAATGAGCTGGCAAGACTGGCCAACATCGAGACAGAGTTTAAGGTAAGGTGGTCTCTATTCTCTCTCTTATAGCTTCTATTTTTTTGCCCAAACCTACCGTTTCATGTGGGTGGAAAAAGGGTTGACAGAAGTTTTGGCAGAGTAGCGAAAAACAGGAAGGTGAAAGAGAGGAATGCTCACTCTGAAGACACACACACACAACGCATGTAATGTAAAGACTATAGAATGATGAAAGGATCAGGACCACATGTGACAAATTTGAGTCTAAAGTCAGAATTCTGAATTTCAAGTCTTTAATCTGACTTAAAGCTCAGAACTCAAATACAGTTTTCACATATGGCCCTAATCCTCCTCTGTAAATGATTAAACAGCTTTACTGTGAATATAAATTTTACCCCTCAAATATGATTACAGTCCTTGCATGTTCCCTGTGACATTTTTATTTTTTATTTTTTCATGAAGTCAGGCTGAATAGTTACATCGTGCTTGATGGAAATGCCAATGTTTAACCCATACCTGCGGATGATTCACCTTCATCATTCTGATATTGACCGGCTTTCCCAGTGCACTCCATGCTTTTTATTTCTCCTCTGATCCACCTATTACCAATACAATCTCTAACCGGGTTGTGGTGATTAAGAACTGTAAAGTGGAACACTTTTTTGTTTGATGGAAAATATGGGATTTTGTGTGCTTCTACTGAGAAAAAAGATTGCATTTAAAATACTGAAGTTGCCAAAATGAAGCTTGCTTCAATGATAATGCTGCCAATACTACAATAGAGAGCGTGTGTGTGTGTGTGTGTGTGTGTGTGTGTGTTTGTGTGTGTGTTAGAGGACATAAATTGCTCGTATGTGATAGGCTGTGACTGTTTGAAGTGGCTAGATCTAAGTTCTTTATGTCTTTGACTCATAGCAATCAAACACACACACACAGGGTCCAATGGACAGAGGGATGTTGTATGCTGTAAAGCCCTCTGAGCAAGAGTTATTTGTGATATTGGGCTTTATAAATAAAATTGATTGATTGATTGATTGATTGATTGACTGACACATGCAGATACTACATTATGTGACGCTGAAAATGTACCTATAAAAAGTCAAAATATTTTAAATTAGTAATCAAACTTACCTGGATGTGCTGGTACACCTTTCCTGAGTAGGGCTGGGTAAGGTGTTGACCGACATAACCCAGTACCAAATAGTATCGAAATGTCTCTGTTCAAACGATACCTGCATTAGATCCTTTTTTGCACTGTGGGTCTGATCCCAGATCTATCTGACTGCTTGCTGGATCAGCATCTGTTGCTGAAGTCTCCGGAGCCACTCTCCTCGCAGTTAGCACAAGCTAACACAGCAGCAGCAGCTAGCATCCAACACTGAGCAGTTTAACAGTCCCAGTAAACTTTTTGTTACGGCTCTCTAGAGCTGCTCTTCTCTGCAGTCAGTCAGTTCAACATCTGCCCGACACAGCACAGCAGCAGCAGCCACCATCCAGCACCACAAACTAACACCAACACCAAACTGCTCAACTCCGTCTTTAAACACATAATACCATTAGATAACGTTAGCTGTGTGATGCTAACAGTTCGCCCCGTCACTGTGTATGCAGCTAGGTGGACTCTCATAACAGTCCCCCGCACAGAGCCCAAACTCCAGCAGCAGCAGCTACAACCCAAACAGTCTGTGGCTGGTTTAGAGTTCACAACAGGCTGAAAAGATTACAACCCAAACCGAATTCACCCATGGGAGCTGAAGCCTGAACCCAGCCCATCTGAGATCATCACATAATATATTGAGCCTGAGCCTGACCAAACCGGCTATGTGGCATCACAAGCCATGCATGTCTTCAGTGGAAAATGGACCAGCTTAATGGATCACCAACTCTCCACACTGTATTTCCCCACTAGAGAAGCTCCCTGCTCCGGCCAGGAGGAAGGACAGAGAGCCCAGCACAGAGCCTGGCTGCTCCCTGTCCTTCTCGCTCTGCCTGCACTTTTTAATGTTTTTTATTTATTTATTTTTTACTTCTTCCCACAGCCTGAGCCTTTAGCAGTCAGCTAAGGGTTCAAGTAGCAAAAATATATATAAACATGAAAGATGACTAAACAACACTAAAGTGCTATAATAAACAAGTCCATTCTAGCACTATATTTTGGCTCAGGTGCCTTCATCAGCATTTTTAGAGAAAATCACCTTCAATTTGTCTCCAGCTGTCCATGCTGTTTGTTTTCTGTATTCAGGATGGTAATAATTACATACATTTTGTGAGCAATCTCACTTTGTCTCTCTGCCAGGGAGACCTGTTAAAAGCCACTTTGCTGCCTCTATGGCATTGGTCATTTTTGCTAGTCTTATGTTCCACTGTGTGAAAAAGGTGCCCCTTTCCATTTATCCCCCCTTTTATCCAAAGTCAGCAGAGAGTTTTTGATTTACGGTAATAATCCCCTCTCTTTCACCTCAAGCAAAGTAATATGTGTACTTAGCTGACTAAATAGTTGGCTTCAGAGCAAATGTTCAGTGTTCACATCCATAGTTGATTGTCCAAATCCAGTGGTGGGTTTTCTTTCATGAAATATAGGACTCCATTTTAAGGAACATTAACAGTTTTCCCCCTCTCTTTTTTTATTTCTGTTTGTCCGTATGCATCACTTCGTCAATCTTTCTGCCCACCGTTGTGTTTGTCAGTCAGGCTTTCAGCTTGTCATTTTGTTCCCCATCTCCAGACAAGTTAATGAGGGGGGCTCACCTGAGGGACCAGAGTTGTGTTGGAGCTCATCTGTCTCATTACCATCTCATTATCACCCCCCTGTCTCCTCTGTTTATTTGTCTCCCTGTCCCTCTTCATATCATCCTCTCATTACGTCAAAATATCAAATAATTTTAAGACACTGTGCCAATATCCTGAAACACGGTCCTGTTTCATATTTGGAAATCAAATAGAGACAATAAAAGCTCAGGCAAAGATTCCATTATCGTAATTATGACACCAGGGATTGCTTCTTAGTGTTTTCTGGGTTTGATGTTCTGACAGAAAAGTTTGTGAATAAAATATTACTCAGCAGCCGACAGTAAACTTTGAGAAGTTGGAGAGTTTCACAACACATGAATGATTGATTACAGTCAGCCACACAGAGCAGCCTTTGGTCTTCTCTTTCTAAGGAGTTCAATTTGTTTTTATCCACAACTCAAAGTACTGCTTATCAGCGACTAGTGAATCAGCTTTGCCATGTGTGTTTTATTATGTTTCTTGGTACTCTGGAGGTACGCTGTCTTGTTACCTCACTACAACTGAACTCCCACTCCTGCAATGAGCGTCATCCTGTTGCCTGCCTCTTATTCACACTCTTACTCCCTGCACACAGGGCAGGAGAGATTACTCTGCGTCTTTCAGTCGTCTTTCTAGACTTACTGTTCAGGAAACTGTATCAACGGCAAAAAAACATGATCAGGGCATTCCTGGCTTCCACTGTATTTTGAGATTAATGCAACAAAGCACATAATGCTGCACAGCACGGCTCTACTCAACTCGACATGCTCTTTTTTGGTTTACCATCAGCAAAGTTGTAGATAGTATCTGGTAACTGGTAATGAAGCATAGCAGAAGTTCAGTCAGGGAGACTCTCTTTACACTCATTTCATTCAGAAATCTCTCTCCCTTACTCCAGCTTCTATGGCGTCACTCCAAGTTAATTTTTTTTTGTTTAGATATTTTTTGGGGGCATTTTCACCTTTAATTGATAGGACAGACAAGCGTGAAAGGGGGAGAGAGAGAGGGAGTGACATGCAGCAAAGGGCCACAGGCTGGAGTCGAACATGGGCTGCTGCGGCAACAGCCTTGCACATGGGGCGCCTGGTCTACCACTAAGCCACCGACGCCCCAACTCCAAGTTAATTTAACTAGATTTTGCCACAGTTTCCCTGAGCCAATCATATCTTTGGCGTGAAATTTAAAACTGTTCTCTTGTGTGCTGCTGTCAGTAGTCATTTCAGAAGAAACAGATGTGACCCTCCTGCACCCCATTCACCTCCACCTCTAGCACATCCACTGCCCCTTCCTGCTCCTCATCCCATCATCCTCATCCTTCAGCTGTCCCTCTCCTCACCTCCACCACCAGCGTCTAGACTCCACCAGGGAGAGTATTCCTAAACTAAACATGGCATCTCTACCCCCTCAATTTAAACGCCAAAGAACTTTTCAGTGGTCTAATTGTCAAAGAACCTTGAACAGTTCATCTTTATTGTTCACCATTTAATACATTTTTCAAGTCTCTCCTGATTGAACTTCTTTTGGTACCGGTGCAGCCAAGATTCCAAGTGAGCTGAGTTGATACAAGAATGTGGAGCTAAAACACTCTGTGCATTCCAATACGCATACTACCATACTTCAGTATGCCAGAAAAAGATTTAGTATGTCCCAATACATGGTATGTGCAATGCAGTATGCCAAAAATACCAGGATGTTATACTACACCCACACTGATTTTGCAGTATGCAAGCCAGCATGCTTTTCTTACTATTCTGACCCACAATCCTCTGCGCAGCTGACGATACATCACATCGACTGAGCCGCAAACAGATGACTGCTTGACAGCTGAGTGACAGCAATCAGAAGTCACAATGATGCATTCAAGTGACTGATGACCAATCCAATAGTAATAAGAGGAATATTGATTGTTTAACTGAACAAAATAATCACAAATATCCCAAACAATAACAGGACATAACTATGAAAATAACAATGACGGAGAAACGCAGATGTCATTTCACTGTTGCAAATATGTTAGAATTTACAAACTGTGTTAAAGTTAAACTACATACATCGCAAAATAACAACAGCAGAGCTCTCCGGGTTGATCTTCTGTCTGGAGAAGATATTCAAAGTTCAGGGTGTAATGTTATAAGAAAGTAGTGTGTCCCAATTGTGTACATAAAAGTAAAAAGAAAAAGTATGTTTTTTGAAACGCACCCACTATATGATTGGTAGGAGAGAACTGCCCCTTGCGTGACTTGGGACATCCTGCACAAACCCAACATTTTTAA